CTGGGGCGGTGTTAGTGTTTGGTGGTCTGGGTTCGGATGTAGATGTTGGGAAATGGAGGAGAGCTTCAGGAGTGTGGTAGTGGGAAGGGTAAGGTGGCAGGCGGAGGTGGACGTACATATTCTAAAGAAGAGAAAGGTGAGCAGCGTGATGGGATGGCTGCTGAGTCTCCAGCTCAAGCTCCCGGGCGCGGGGGTCTGCTGCGCGGCCTCCATTTTGAACGTCGAGCTGGGTTTGGGGTGTAGCTCTGGTGCAGCTTTTCTCCGCGGGTGAAGCTTGAGGGTTGATGTGCAGCTTCACGTGGCATTTGCGGACTTCTAGAAGCTCGGGCCACCTCGAATCGGCTACTTCGTCATCGGCTCTCTTGAAGCTTTCCCCGCGTCGCGAGAGCTTCCCCAACTCAACTTTCTTGAGATTGCGCTTCAATTGCACGTTTACTACCTTCTACAACGGGGAGAAGTGCCGAATGAACTTGCATTGAGCCCAAGGGCTTCAAATGGCGGCCTCTCGCAACATAATCCGCCGGGCGCTCATGTACGGTACGGTGCATCTCCCTCCCGTCTCCCACCCACCATCTAAACCCCCGCAGTCCCGGGCTCCTCCAAAAAGATGCTCGAAAAGACGTCCACCATGAACGTCGACACGGTAGCCTACGACCTCGAAGACAGCGTCGCCCCTCACATGAAACCCACCGCCCGCTCAAACCTCACTACGCTCCTCTCGCGCCCGCGCCCCGCGGGCATAAAAGAGCTCTGCGTGCGAATAAACAGCGTAGACACGGGTCTCGCCCTCGCCGACCTCACAGAAGTCCTCAAGGGCGAACATCTCGACGCCATCATGCTTCCGAAATGCGAGAGCGCCGCAGATCTCCACTTCGTAACAGATGTCATACGGCACGTCCTCCCCGACCGACATCCCTCGAATTCAGTGCAAAAAGAGGGGCAGAAGCCACCGTTGTCGATAATCGCGCTGATCGAATCCGCGAAGAGCATACAGAACCTGCCTGAGATATGTAGAGCGAGTCCGTACCTAAGCGGTTTGGTGTTCGCCGCCGAGGACTTTGCGAAGGATATGAGTATTACGCGCACACCGTCTTTGACGGAATTTCTCTACGCACGATCGGCTATTGCGACGGCGGCGCGCGCAGCGCTCCTCTCGTCTACTATCGACCTCGTCTGCACGTCGTATAAGGGGGAGCAGGGGCTGAGGACTTTGGAGGAGGAATGCTTGAATGGGAAGGGCCTGGGGTTTAATGGGAAACAGTGTATTCACCCCAGTCAAATCGAGGTCTGTCAACGCGCGTTTGCGCCAGGGGAGAAGGAGGTCGAGTGGGCGACGAGAGTCGTGGTGGCGGATGAGAAGGCGAGTGCGAGGGGGAGAGGCGCCTGGACCTTGGATGGGAGTATGATTGATGTGCCGGTCGTTAAGAAGGCGAGGAGTGTGCTGGACAGGGCGAGGCTTTGCGAGATTAATGTAGAGGCGGTGAGGGAGAGGTGGAGGGATCAGGAGCCGGAGTAGATTGTGGGGTTTATGTGGTGATGGGATAGAGATGTGTTTCGTGAGAGACTATATGCATTATCGGGTAGCTATCATGTGATAGAAGTGAGTTTTGAGATCGTGGAAGAATCGCAGCCGTGAGTTGACACTAGATAGACACGATCCTCGTCATGGTTCTGGGAGTAGGAAAGCGAGACATTTCGCTTATTGGGGAGGGCTGAGGGCCTTGGGCAGGCCGGAATAGCGGGAGTGCGCTACCAAATAGCATGCTATATCACAAGCAGGAACCCCCCGGAAAATGAAAGGAACAAATATATTCAGAGCATTGATCATAAGTTAGCCATCTTTTGTTATTTTGGGATTCGCGTACTCCTGCTCGTTACCATGCCTTGCCCTGACGACTTTTGATGACCATATCCCCATCCGAAAAGGCTGTCAACACCACATGCATCCTCGAAATGTCGCGCAGATCCAGACACCTCCTCCTCAACCAGCATCCCATCCATTCACTCCCCATCCGGGCCCGTTGGATACGTCGTCTGCTCCAGCCCCGCAAACTCATTAATCCACCCAAAAACAACCTCATGCCATTTTAGACTATTCTCCGGCTTAAGCACCCAATGATTCTCATCTGAGAAAGTCAAAAACTTGCTCCTCACCCCCTTAGTCTGCAGCACGTTGAAAGCGCTCAAGCCCTCGTTCATGGTGAGTCGGTAATCGAGCTCGGAGTGAATGATGAGGTGCGGCGTGGCCCAGTTGTCTGCGAAGCGCGAGGGGTCCCACTGCGACCATGAGGAGCTGTTGGACCAGAGAGGGCCGCCGAGGTCGTGGAAGGGAAAGTAGAGTTCTTCAGAGGCGAGTTGGCTGGTCATGCTGAAGACGCCGTCGTGGGTGACGAGGGCTTTGAATTTGCGGCCCAGGTCGTGGCCTTGGATCCAATTCATCATATATCCGCCGTAAGAGGCGCCAAGGGCAACTGCGCGGTCAGTGTCTACGAACTCGAGGTTCTTGTCGATGTAGTCGAAGCCCAAGACGAGGTCTTCGTACGGGAGGCCGCCCCATTGGTTTTGGATGGCATCGACGAAATCTTGCCCATATCCCGTGCTGCCGGTTGGATTGGGAGTGACTACCACGTAGCCTTGCTCGGCGAAAAGAGCGGGATTCCAACGCGTGCTCCAGCTGTCGGTCCATGCGCCTTGAGGACCTCCATGGATTAAATAGGCGAGCGGGTACTTCTTCCCTGAATCGAACGTTGAAGGACGAATGACGAATGCGTGCACGGTGGTATCTGGTGCTGCGCCCAGCCATTTGATCTCACTGATCTGATCCTGCGAGAGTCCGAACATGGCGCCACTTCGTGTATTTGATGAGACGTATTTGGTGACGAGCTGGCTAGACTTTGCTTTTTGAGTGTGTTCATCTATGGGGAGAGTGAAATGCAAATGGCCACTGAGGGTCTGTTTCTTGTGGTCGGCTGGAACAATCGAGTAGAGGCTGTTGTCGATCAAGCTTGTGGACGACAAGAAGATTTCGCCAGACTTGAGCACCTTGACGCTGTTAATGGACCCTCCCTTAACGAGTTGAACCGGTACAGATTGAAACTCTCCTCCTTGAAAGGGTCTGCTGTTGCTCGCGAAGAGATTTACACGACCTTCCTTCTCAGCCGTAAAATATAGAGTATCGTTGCCACCCCAAGTGATTGACTGCGGGCTCTTATCCCAGATGCCTTTCCCGTTGTTGCCAGCAAACAAATGAATGACCCAGCCCGGTGTGAGATAGTCGGGAACGATGAAGACCTGGTTTTTGTCGGACTCGTAGCCATCCGTCTTCATGGATAGGAATGCGATGCTCTTGCCAGTCTTATCCCAGACTGGGCCCGTGCTTGCGCCTTCAAAGCCGTCGACCGGCACCTTATAAAACTTAGGAAGTTCCTTTACAATGTCCAGCCAGAAGGTCTTTGAAGCCGAGAGATAGATGTTGGTCTTTGTGTGTGTTGCGGGGTTAAGATCCGGGTCCTTGGAGGTGAAGACTAGACCGTGTTGTGAGATGTCGAAGTGGTCCGTCCCGCCAAATGGTTCGATTGGGGATGCAAGCTTGCTGCCCTTGAGCGCGTTCTTTAGTTCCGAGAGCTTGTACTTTCCGGCTACCTTGTAGAGTGTAGCCAGGAAGATGGTATTGCGGTTCTCCGTTACATAGTGGTCCCAGTGGCGGACGAAAAGAGAATCGTACACGCGACCAGTGGTCAACGGCTTCTCGGCTTTCTCTGGGTTGAACAGATCGCCGCTAGGTTTCGCTTTGCCGGACAGGGCGACGCCATACGTACCATTGCCAATTTGCGCGAGCTTGACGTTGCCAACGGGGCCATCAATGGTGCCTGCGATATAGCTGCTGTAGAACTGTTAGGCTGTAGAGTATAGTATTGTTCTAGCACATCACCTACCTGTTCCCGAAATCGTTCACAGGTCCGACCTTTACATGCGTAACGCCGCCTTCGTCCCCATGCAACAGCAACACCGTCTCATCGTCTAGCCATTGCGGCTCGCTCGACTCTTTCTTGTCAGTCACGAGCGACGATTCCTGGCTCTTGACGTCTAGGAGGCGGACCTCGAGGTTTTTTGCATGCTCCTCGAAGCTGTACGTTGAGACGCTGTACAGCACTTTGGAAGCGTCTGAATTGGGTAGGCCCTCTGAGCGACGCGGCGCGCTTAGGAGGGCCTCGGGCGTAAACTTCTTCGCGCGGACAACCATTCCTTCTGCGGTACTCGAACCAAACAGTAGAGCGAAGGAGAGTAGGGTGTAGACGTAGCACCTGTTTTATAGTAAGTATACAGCCAGTCTCGGAATGGGGTACAATGCTAGTCCAAGCTGGGCAGCAGACCTAAACTTGCGGCGAGGGATTGCGCTTGCAATTGGAAGGGAATAGTACATGTTGACGGCGTAATGAACATGCGCCACCTCGGTAGGCAAATGAGAGAAATTATATCAAAGGAATAACAGCTGCCGCGGAAGACTGTAGAGCGAGAGACTGAAGGTTGCGAACGAGACGGTGGTGAGGAGGAGCACAAGCTCAGGTGTTTGCAAAGGGTCCTCGACCTCCATTGCAGCTGCCGTGTCGTGAGATCATATGAGGAAATGCTACCTACTTTTAAATACCGAGCTGCAAACGCACAACAGGCAATGCGATGATATATGTATTGGCGGTGCAGCAGAGCTCTGGAGCTGTTGTGTTGTTGACTGAAGCTCGGAGCTCTGGCCGAAGCTAGTTCGGATTTCCCGCATACGTCAAACCCTCGAACCCATGCTTATTTGTCAACAACCCCGCTAAGGTGGTACGAACCCCTCAAAATTGACCGATGATGATGCCTTCACTTTGCTATTAGCTGCTATGACGCATGGAGATGCACAGAGCCGTCTCCAGTTATTTTTTTCCATACATATAAATTTATTAACCTGCAAAATTTGGAAAATTTGGAAAAAGTCCACTGAAGTCCTGAGGACTTACGAAACTCCAGTGGCGCAGTGGCTAGCGCGCCGTTCTTATAAGGCTCGTCAGATCTTTATGGCCTCGTCTGGTAATGCGGATGCCGTGGGTTCGACCCCCACCTGGAGTAATCTGCAATCTTTTTGCGCCTTTTTTGAATCTCCGCGCATCTAGATGTTGTGATATTTTTGCATTTTGGTGGGATTTGGACGAGGCTGGGGCATCCGTGATTAGTTCTTGGACACCTGGAAGAAAAGCTTCCAACACTTTACAAACGCTCTAGATGAGGCAGCCACGACCCTGTAACTTACCTCCCCGTTTCCGGAACATAGGTAAGTGGACGGAGACCTTTAAATGCACATGCTACTGCAGCAAGGAATTAGTTTGCTTTTAATTTACTAGTAATCTTCTCCGAATGCCCATGGATGAGATAAATTTGGATAAAGAAGCAGCAAGGCAAGTGTACAATACCAGACCAACGAAGTACTTGATCAAATGCTATGCTAATGTCTTACAAGATCTTCAAAGCTTACACAAAGCCACATACAAACACAACCCCCTTACACCTATCTCATAGCCCTAGGATGGACCAGCGTCCGATTCCTGAGATGCGGAAGATGGCGACCAGCGACCTATATCCGCAGCCTAGCTTTCACGGGCGGCTTGGTAGCTGTAACTATATGGCCCGAAAGCCACATGTTCACTCTTGCAGCGTGGGAACTTGCGAGACGGGAGGATATCACGCTCACGCCCTCTCGACTGTACGAAAGGGCTTCGCGGTTTACATAGGACGATAGCATACTGGTCGGCGGCACAATGGGGTTGTTGTTTACGATTTGCAAGGCGGGATTTCTGAGTGCTGTTGGCAGAATTGCAAACCACATACGATGGTGGGCAAGACTCAAGCTGAACGGCTTCCGTTCGTCTCGCGCGCTGTCCAAGGAATTGCCATGGGCGTATCTGGAGGCGCCTTGGCGTGTGAGATGGTTTCCGCAGACAAGTCCTCGACGTTGCATCATGTCATCACCATAAGAAACATACGCAGATCGGAGCTGTGAGAGAAGCTATCTAGGAATGAAGAGTTCATGAAGAGTGTTGGCCCGTGGTTTGCACGTCTCATCGACGTAACGGGGCCAAAAGCGTCAGCGAGACGGAGGAGAAATTATCTGGCTCGTGAACGAAGCTTATCCCCTGAATCGGTGCAAGAGCTTGTGGAGACCTCGGACGACCTGGACAAAGTGGTCACACGCTGATAGGAGCTGTTTTCGAAGGGAGAGGAACCGTTGCCGTGGGGAGTTGAAGGCGACGGAGCGCAAAGGGTAAAGGCTGTGAGTTAGTAGGAGCAAAGGTCGTCGTCGTCGTGGGAGGAGCTCACTGCGAGGGTAAAGCGACTGCCGGACGAGTATCGAGCGAAAGGCGAGAAGATCTTGAGCTTGGCGAGGCAGCTGGAAGGACACCGTCCTGTGCAAGACTATATGGTTGCTGATCTACTCGACGATCTGGAAAAGAGGGCGGGGGAGGAACGAAGGCGGGGGGACTAGGGAGGGGGATTAAGGAGGAAGGAAGGACGAAGGAGGGAGAGAAGAACAAAAGAGGCAGGAACAAAAGAGGGAAGAATAGCAAAGAGAAGAACGAGCAGAGAGAGGTAGGAGGCGTCACATGCAGTATGTACCACGAACGCGACACTTGTCTACGTGTGTAGGAACTAGCTCTAAACCATTGCGAACATCCCCGCCTGTTGTTCCGCTTCTTAGTTCTTGTCTTATCAGCCTGCTAACAGCTCTATATCTCCTCTTTTACCCTCTCATCGCGCATATACCAGTCAATAACATCACGTCTTGTGCAACTCATACTCTGCAGTGTACGCATACCAAAAGAATATTTCGGTAGAAACTAGATCAATGGTACAAGGCAATGCGAGTATTCGTTATAGCTAGAAGCGGACTTCCAGCGCCTATGAAACAACATTTGTACACACAATGCCAACCGCACGGCAATATCTAAGACGCCATCGAGGCGATCAATCGGTCCTCAATGCCCTCGAGGATCCACCAATGCTCAAGAACTTCCAGGTTCTCTGCTTCGCTCAAGAACAGCTTGTCGGGGTCTTGTTCGGGACCCATCATACCCGCACCGGGGTTCGACATTGCCATTTGTTGCGTGACCTGGTTCGCAGCTATGACAATGTTAGCTTTCGTACACAGACGTATCAAGTTGCTTGTCCTTACAGTTGTTGCTCCCCAGAATAAAGTTATAAACAGGCTGCAATCCGAAAAGAGTCAAGAAATACCACGACAAGCTGGACACCCATCTGACGTCCAAATCTTGAGTCCCCACACCAGATTGCAGCATCGACTTGAACTGCGGCGTTAACGGAAAAGGCAGTTTCACTGTAGAAAACTCGTCAGCAACTGTCCAATATACCGCCCACCATCTCCACAAGCTACCCCGTCCCCTGGCAAAGGGTGAACTCACTGATAACAAACCCCGAAAAAAACGCATTAATCCAGCCCATAATCAGCGTCTGCGGCACCATCATCGCCATATTCCCCTTCATCATGCCCATCATACCCTCCATCGCCGCAGGATCGCTCATCGGATTCGGCCTCGGCTTCCCGCGATTCTCGGGTTCCGCGAGAAACTTGCCCTCCTGGTACGCGGACACCATGTACGCTTTACGCGCCTGGAACGCAGCAGGAGATAAGACGTTGGCGTTTTGACGCAGTTGGACGCCGCGGACGAGGGAGCGCTGTTGTCGGATTTGCAGGAGGGTTTGTGGCTTGGGCGCGCTTTGGAGGAGCGTCATGGCGTAGTGGCGGAGGATGCCGGTGAGGATCTAGAGGGGGTTAGAGGGGAAGAAGGAGAGGAGAAAGAGGGACTGTGTACCATGACTACGGTGATGGGGAGGAGAATCCACCAGCTATATCGTATCATCAGCGCGGATTCATAACGTGGGCGGAGACTACGCACAACAAGGCGGGGTCCCGGTGGATTGTCTGCACCACAGGCTGAGCCATGATTGCAGTAGACGACGGATTGGCGATGTCGAGATCGGAGGAAGAGGCGTGGTGGGTGCAGTGTCGTCGTCGTCGGTTGTGGGGGAGTTGGAGTTGGGAAAGCTCAGCGGAGCCTCTCCGGATTCAAAAAGTGACAGGGGTCGGTCGTGCCTTCCTTGTGAACACCTTGCCCTCCAAGCTAAGCTCACCATTTCGACAGCACAAGCTCCAAACACTCTCCTCCACACTCTTTCTCCCCAATAAATAAATAATACAAGAAAAAACTACAGCCCACAATGTCCTCCTCAACAAAAATCGCAGTCCACTCCCTCTCCGGTAATTTACCTCACCCAACACCTCCCCCGACTTGCTAAACTAACAACCGCCCTCCCCCAGATCTCAAAAACACAACCGACGACGCCCTCCCCCACTACCTCCACACGTTAAAATTCCGCCAAATCCACAAACAAACAGACATCCGCCTCGCCCTCGGCTACACCGCCGTCGTCGTCGCCGCCGCCCTCTTCTACTTCGACTGGAAGTTCGGCTGGGACGTGTCGAAGCCGTACACGGCGCCCGCCGTCACCGCCTACTTCATCCTCAACTCCGCGTTCAGCTACTGGCTGTGGGTTGTCGAGGCGGGGACTGTGTATGAGGGCGAGGGGAAGACGGGGAGGGTGAGTCCACACTATACACTCCGTTGCGTTCCTTTCACTGGCTAGAGCAGAGCAAGCGGGGATGGAAATGGGACGTGGGCTAATATGATTTTTTGTATCGTAGGTCCGCATAGCTTCCTCGACGAAAAAACACATCCCGATCTATGAATGCGACATCTTCTTCACTCCCGCGCCCATAGCTGCGAATCCAGAGCAGAAAATCCATATTCGCGCGCCGATGACGCGCTGGTTCACCGCTGATGGGTACTTTGTGGCCAAGCCGTTTCAGCAGTGGCTGGCGTCTGAGGTGCCGGTTATTGGCGCCGCGGATCCGGGGAATGTGGTGGAGGAGATTGGGAGGGGGAGTGGTGCTGGAGCGGAGGGGGCCCGGGCGATAAATGTGTCGGGGAGCGAGGCGGTGGATGTGCTGGAGAAGTTGAAGGCTAGTGGGGTGAAGGTTGCGGGTGGTGGGAGTGGGAGGAGGAGGAAGGCGTGAGTGTGTGGGTGTGAGGAGGATGGGGGAGGGAGGTTGAGGTGGAGTTGGGAGTTGGGGGGTTGGTATGATGTTGGGTCTAGTGGATATGTGGACTTGAGCAATGGGTAGGCGTTAGGGAAAAGATATCCCGGGACGGGCGACTCAAATGATATCCACCTTCGTAATATCTAGACGGAGGCCTTGTCTCACTTATATTGAAATCATCTACATTATATCATATGTTCCTCCATCGCAACTCTTTTAACCCCACAGACTCCAGACGATAACATTATACGACATCATCACATCAACATATGCCCCTCCAAACCCACCATTCCCCCAACAACAGTACACGCCCCACATAAATGATGATCACATGACATACAATCGACATAAGTATGCATGGGCCACGGACCGCTCTGACACGTGCACTGTGCGACGTCAGTACTCCCATTCAAACAGAACCCGGAGAGGAGGAGGGAAAGGAGGAGGGAAAGGAGGAGGGAAAGGAGGCGGGAGTCAGGGAAAACTTACACAGTATCGATCGATACGATCAATCTCCCTTCTCCTCCTCTTAGGTAGCTGGTGGGGCGGCGGTGCGGCAACCACACTCAATCCCTCATCCACTCCAAACCCTCTCTTCCTCGCCATGACCCCAATGCCAACTCCAACGCCAATATCCTCAACCTGCTCAGGAAAGAAAACTTGCCCACCCGCTGCTCCCTGTCCCTGCCCAGCATCCACAACTCCAACCTCAACGTCTCGCTCCTGCACGATATCCGCATCCTCAAACACCAACACCGGCGGCGGCGAGAGATCCCCCTCACTCGACCCTTCCACCTCCACATCTCCCCTCCCCTCCCCCTCAGCATCAGCATCACCCTCACCCTCGCCATCATCATCAAACCTCCCCCGATCCATCCCCTTAAGAATCTCCCCCTTGCACCTCCCGGCCTCCACACAAACCCACTCGTCAATCCCCCTCCCCTCCGCACAAAAATGC